GGAGAGAGAGGGAGGGAGGGAGGGAGAGGGAGGGAGAGAGAGAACCACATGGAAGTCAAAGGACAGAACACTATTTGTGGGGGGGAGGTGAGGAAACATGGCACTCCGGAGGGAGGCAGCAGGAAGGTAGCACAGTGCCAAGTACCCCTGGATGCGAAGAGGAAAGACTGTAAAGCCTTGAGAACTGCCGTCCTGGAGAGAACTTCTGCGGTGAGTAAAGCACTCTACCTCCTGAAGCACTGTCACAAAGAGAGTCACATACTTCTCCCAGGCATGCAGACAGAGGTGCCTACCTTTCCCTCTGAATGCTTCAGTGAATGCTTCAGATGCTAGATCTTATTTGTTCAGATTTCTTCACATATCACTATATAACTTCAAATGAGACAGGTATTGTAAAGGAGAACCGGGTGATGTTAAAGCACTGAAATAAAAAAACCTGACCAACTCCAGGAAATCAAGGAAGACTTCTCTGAGGAAATAACATCATACCTGAGACTGGATGGATGGGTAGGAGTTACCTAGTTGAGGTGGGATGGAGTGGAGGAGTGCTCCAACAAAGGTGGTGACACAGGCAGGAAATTCTGACCCGGTCGGTATTGCTGGGGCCAAGAGAGCTGAGGGATAGGACCGGAGAGGACAGGGGAGCTAGGAAGGACCCTGCAGGGCCTCTTTAGATAGGCTGGAGTCTAGGGACCTAGGCCGATAGTGGATGCCACTACTTGGTGGCACAAGGATCAGGCTGTGATTTGAAGGGCTCCCTTTAGCTTTATAGAGCAAATCAGAAAACCAACTGGAAAGAAACGTGGGGCAACAACAGTCCATGCTGGAGATAGAAAACGTAACTAAGGTGATGAGAAAAGGGGGTAGAACCACATTCACAATGAGCCAAAATGCTATTAATAAAATTGATTAAGACCTGTCTTGTGATAGCGTGTGCGCGAAGACAGGATGGTACCAAGGATCACATCTAAGTTTCTGTCTTGAAGATCTGTACAGATGAGGGAGTGAGTCACCGAGCTTGGGAAGACGGAACAGCCCAGACTCATGGGAGAAAGTTCACACACTGAGATATGATCTTTTTGTTGTTGTCTTCTTTTAGAGACAGGGTCTTGCTCCCTTGTCCAGGCTGGAGAGCAGTAGCACCATCATAGCTGACTGCAGCCTTGAATTCCTGGCATCAGGCAATCCTCCTACCTCAACCTCCCAAGGTGTTGGGATCACAGGTGTGAGCCACTGCGCCCTGCCAATAGATAAACTTTGGAGCCTGAGATGCCTTGAAAACACCCAAGTGGAAATTTCAATTAGGGATTTGTGTACTTGTAGACAGAACTTGAAGCCAAGGGCATAGCTGCAACTTTGGAGAGCATACAATCTAAGAAGAGTTTCCATAGCACTCTTAGTCTTACTTTTTTTCTCTTGCTTACCTTCCCAATCTCCCATCAAAAATAGCACCAGAGTCTTGGAGTAAAACATTTAAGTTACATTTTACATATTCCCCTTTAACTAAAATCATTAAAGAAAAATCTCACTTTAATTTAGTACCATAATAGGCTCATTCAATGACAACTATCTACAACTAGGAAAAATTTGCACAGCCAATTGCTAGACAAAATGAAAGAACACAGAATATGATGTGTATGAATGAAGTGTGTTTTGATCTGTAAGTGGAAATAAAACGAATATAGTTGTGCTCAACCTTTGTTATCCCCAACCTCCGGCAACCCAAACTTATCCCAATTGGCCAGAAACAAATTTTTTGTTTTTGAACTGGAGTCTCACTGTCGCCCAGGCTGGGGTGCAGTAGCACACTCACAGCCACCCCAGCATCGACCTGCTGGGCTCCAGTGATCCTTCTGCTTCAAGCCTTCCAAGTGCCTGGAACTACAGGCACGCGCAACCATGCCCGGCTAATTTTTTTATTTGTTGTAGAGATGCAGTCTCACCAAGTTGACTGGGCTGGTGGTGAACCCAGCCTTGGCCTCCCAAAGTGCTAGGATTACAGGCTGAGCCGAGTCTGGCCAACAAATGTTTTTTTTTTTTTTTTTTTTGAGTTGGAGTCTCACTCTGTCACCCAGATTGGAGTGCAGTGGC